GGCCTCTCTGTAGAGTGTGTGTTATTTTTTAGATACTCTCTATATATATATATATATATATATATATAGATATATATATATACTAATTTTAGAAATTGTGGCAAATTTAAGGACCCCTTGGAACGCATCCAGTGATGTGCACATTCCAGTTTGGGAACCGCTTTAATAGGACACTCCCACGCTCTCCCTTGACAAGCAGAGGAGTTATGAGTCACCAGGGCCCCTTTTGCTGGGGGTTCCCAGGACTCCAAAGACAGCCAACTTAGAGCAAGAATGGAGGAGTCTTCCAGAGAACTCCAGGCCCTTTCTCATGAGTGACTCATCTCTTACCTTCCCCCTAGAGAAGCCAAAAAATGGAGTCTGAGCTTCCAGAGCAGCCAGAGCAGAGCCCACCAACCAAATCTTGGTCATTTTCACCCAGGGTATCCGTAACATCATTCTCTAGCTGAAAAAAAATCCCAGCAAAAGATAACTTCCCTCAGGTAGATTTGGATAAAGGGCCTGAATAAATTATCTAGAGAAATTAGAGGCCTCCAGTCTACTGATGCCTGTTCTTAAGACACCTACCCGAAGAAGAGTCTAGGTACCTCCAGGAAGTGAACGTCCTAAGGGCTACAGACAGCCTGAAGACCCTTCCATATGGCCTAGGACTCCCAAGAAAGCAGAGGAGGTCGCTTACCTTCAAAGGTCACGATGGGGTGCTCCCTCCAGGTGCATAGCTGTTGCTCAGTGCTGGGATCATTGGAGATGTCGTGGGAGCTGGAGAGGTGGGACACTAGCAGGGTGAGACTGGGCAGCAACAACGAGACAGCCAGGGGTCCCGGGGTCACCATGGTGGGCCCCTGTGCAGTCCTAGCTCCTGGAGGCAGGTCGGGGAAAAGACCTGTAAAGGAAAACTCAATCTCACCAAGTGCTCCTTCCATCAATGCCCACTGTGCTCTATTTTCTCAAGATGTCAGAGGCCCCGCAGGGTCCTTTAAAAATAAATTTATATTGTATTTATGTTACTCTGCTCTAGTAATGCAAAGTTGTAGATCATATCTTGAAAGTTAATTTCCCTTGTAATGGTATTCTGGACAAAACTGACAAATTATAGAGCCTTTTCTCTTATGATCCCAAATGCTTTAAAATTAGTTTTAATGATAAAGGTGGGATCCATTTAATAAATGGAACTGGGGCAATGGGCAGTACAAATTGTCATTTGTAAAAGGAAAAGCTTGGACTCCAGTCCAATTTGGACCTCACATTTTATACTAGGAAAAATTCCAGTTGGATAAAAGATTTAAATGTTAAAGATAAAATCATAAAGATACTAGAAGAATCCTTCATACTTTAGAATAGAAAAACTATAATTAAAGTCCAGAAACCATCGAAGAAAAGCTTGACACATTCGACTTCACTAAAAGCATAAACTTCAGCATGTCCCCCTCCCACTAAAAATAACATGAAGCAGAATCAAAAGGCAAATGACAGAAGCTGGATGTGATGGTGCACACCTCTGACCCTGGGACTCAGGAGGCTGAAGCAGAAGGATTGAAGGTTTCTGGCCAGCCGGGGCTACACAGTGAGACCCTGTCTTTAAAAAAGGGACGGGCCTTGGAGTTGCCTCATTTGGTAAAGTGCTTGCTAGAAGACCTCAGGCTGATCCTCAGGCCCAACCTAAGAAAGCCAAGTGTGGTGGCGTGGTGCATGCTTATAGGCAGAACAGGTGGTTCCCTGGGGTTTGCTGGCTAGCCAGCCTAACCTACTTGGAAAGTTCCAGAGCAAGTAAATACCCTGTCTCAAAAGACAAGGTAGATGGCTCCTGAGAAAGGACACCGAGGCTGACCTCTGGCCTCCTCATGCACACAGGAACATGAGGACTCATGCACACACAGAAACATAACACGAGGCAAAATGCAAACTTGAAAAAATATGTGATTCTGATAGCAGACAAGGGACTAATATTTCTACAGATACAGAGAACTCTTAAGGATCAAGATGACCAACAATCCAGTAGAAAACTGGGTAGTGAACACAAATAAACGGTTTAAAATCTGAATGACACCCATTCTCACAATAAGCAATGCAAATTAACTCTTAGGCTGGGATTGCATTTCTTACCTACCATGTTAGCAAAAATCCAAGTCAGACAGCACACTCTTCTGATGAGGCTTCAGAGGTAAAGGACCTATCCTCTGCTACTACCAGAAGTAAAATATCAAACCCTTCAGGAGGGGAGCCTGCAAACTGTGGCAGAACCCCTGTATATTTACCCTTGACCCAGTGACCTATTATGAGAGTCCAGGCTTGTGGCCCTCAAAGTGGGATCCATGGATCCATGAATCACACATAGCAACAACTCCATGGTAAAACAGACACAGAAATCTGGAAGTCAGTATTTTAAAACCTTTATAGTAATTTGAGTATTTTTCATGTGTATTGACTCCAATAACTAAATGTTTAGGGCTGAGGTTGTGGCTCAGTGGTAGAGCTCTTGTGTTACATGTATAAGACCCTGGGCTCCAACCTCAGCACCATAAAACAAAAAGAGAAAATAAAATATTTAGGCTTGTATGTTGTTTTTCAAATTCATTTCTCTACTAATTTACTTTTATTGGATTGTTCGTAAGTATCCATCTGTGACAGATTATAAATTGAGAAGTCAAACCTGCTCCTTCATAACAGATAGCTGAGAAGCAAAAATAGACCACAGAGGCACCTGTGTGAGCACAAAATGACTCGTGCACGAGATCACTCACTGTGGCATTTAGTGAGACAGCAAAAGGACAAAAGCACACAAATGGACTGAAATAAGAGGCTCTTTAATAAACTTTAGTGTGTCTGTTATGGGATACTATGCAGCTATAGAAAAGAATGATTCTCTTTTCCATAAAGTGAAAGGTTGCATTAGCTCAGGGGCTGCTGACCAGGAAGGCAGCCTGGGATGGCTGGTGAGGGATTCCAAAGGTGACTCTGTCAGTGTAGGTGGGAACCAGAGGAGGGAGGCCTCTGGGGCTCTTCTCTGCCCTAGGACCTTTGCTCCTAACCTTTCCTCCCTCTTTTTTTTTTTTTTTTTTTTTTTTTTCTTAAAAAAAAAAAAAAATTTCCAGGGGAAGACATTGTCTATGAATCGCCAAGGCCAAAGAGACACATCT